TAAACTCTGGCGCCATGGATGATATACATTGAATTCTCCCTTTGATGAATTTACATGTTGGACAAGTTGAACTCATTTTTAAATGAGTTCAACTGTCGAATGAGTTGAACTCGCTTATACAACTTCAATTGATCTCTTTTGACTATTTCATTTGTAATCATGGATGACTTTAATTGGACACTCTTTGAAGATTTCAATTGAATTCTATCTTTGGTGACTTCAACTATTACATTAGTTAAAAATTTTCTTAGATGAATATAGTTGAGCTCTTCAATTGTACTCTTCCTCTGATTTAATTGAGAATTTAATTTTTAACTGTACACAATGGAGAAAAAGAATACATATAGCCGACCAGACATAGTTGAATAAAGACTTGATGTTGTTGTTGTTGTTGTTGTCTCTCTTCGACAACTTCAATTGCACTCTTCCTCTGATGACTTTTAGTATTGGATAAGTTCAACACTCTCTTTGATGACTTAGATGAACTTTCTCTTCGACGACATTTGTTGAACTCTCACATTGACAACATAACTGCTTGACAAGTTGAACTATCTTAAATGACATTTGTTAAATTCCCCTTTGCCCCCTTTAATTGAACTCTCCCTTTGGATATTTCAAATGTTGGACAAGTTAAATATGGATTGTAGGTTTATCAGAAATATGATGAATACCAAAGATGGGTTCCTTGATTATTTTTTAAGTTCAAAGAACGAGCTTCCTGATTACTTATTCAATTCCATAAATTAATTATCTATTTTTAGATTTTTCATGTATATTAATTATCTTTGTTTCATCGCTCCAATGCTTGTCATACTTGATTTTTAGTTTTTGGCATCAGTTCACACTCATTTTACCTTTTAGAGTGTTATACCCAAGTCTTTCCATTGGTAACACAACAACCTTGCTAACAAACTCATAAGGCACACATAACAAAAAGAATAGTAGTAGGAACAAGATCTATAGACTGAGAATATTTATTTATTTTTTAATTATAAAGAACACAAGAGATGAGTTTTCCAATTATTTCATGTGCCCCAAGAATTTTTGTTGACGTCCTATTTATAGATTTATACAAAGGTATTAGGCTATAAGAAATGACACTTTTAAGCAATATAAAAAAGAAAATACATCAAGATATATAAAGCATGTCACCTAAAGTATATAAGAGTACACGTGAACTTTTGACACATGGGAGATTAATCGATGATGTTACAAACTTGTTGGGTGAAGTCGCCTACTTGCTAGATGAAGTTGTTGACTTACTAGATGAAATTGTGAACTTACTAGATGAAATAATCAATTTGTTGTATACAACTATAAACTTTTTGGGTGAAGTCATTGACTTGCTGGATGAAGTCGCCAACATGTTGGTGAAGTCATCAAATTGCTAGATGAAGTCATCAACTTACTATGTGAAGTCCCTAACTTGTTGATCGAAGTCATTAGGTGAAGTAACCAACTTGTTGGGTAAAGTCACTGGCATGTTAGGTAAAGTGGCCAAATTGTAGGGAGAACTCATTGATTACCTTGATGAGGTTGTCAACTTGTTGGGCGAAGTCGCTGATTAGTTGGGTGAAGTTGCTAGCTTGCTAGAATAAGTGCTAACGAGTTCACTATGATTTTATATATATATATATATATGAGTCTAATAAGTTTAGCATGTTCCTAACAAATTCACTATGACTAACAAGAGTTCAATATGATGCTAATGAGCTGAAGAGATCTATTTTTCCATTACACTTCATTAATATGGTCACTTTGAACTTAAAACCAGACCAACTTGAGTTTCTTCTATATGAAATATTTGACTACACAAATAGCCTCATAAAAAAGTATTATTATCTTTGTAAGAACGGCATGAGGAATTGTTGAATAAATTAAAAAGAAATCTTTTCCCTATGTCACGGTTGAAGAGATAAATAATAAAAATATGTTATGAAATTGATAAAATAGACTCCTACTTTGGACATTGAGGTTAAATTGATTGTTATCCCAATTTGGATATCCTTCCCTAATCTTCGGCCTCATTTGTTTGGCCAGCATATTCTTCATGATTTAGGCTCTGTTTTTGGTAAACCCTTAAAATTTGACAATGCAGCCTCCTCTGGTTCCCATCCGTCTGTTGCTCGCATTTTGGTTGAACTAGGTGTGACCAAACATTATCCTGATAAAATTTTGATTGGTCTGGATAACATTGGTTATGTTCAATATGTTGTTCTGAAAGATTTTCTTGAGTATTGTGCACACTATTTCACTTTTTGGGCATTTGAAGGTTGATTGTAGGATTTTACACCCTCACCTTGACTCCTCTGCCTTGCCTCCGTCTACTCTTATTGTTAATAATATGATGGGGGATGGTGGGGAAGTTTCTCCTATGCTCCCTGGATTTATGGTGGATCCGTCTATCCCTACGGTTGTGGCACCTAATGGCATTTTCTGTAATGATTCTGTTGTGCACGGTTTAGCAGTAAATTTAGATGTTGACTAGCCCACACCTTTTAATTCTCCTGTTTCTCGTGTTGCTTTTTCTCCTATTTTGCCTTATATGGGAGGGTCGTTTGTTTTAGTTGATTTGGTTGTTGTGTTGGATTCCCCTATTAATGTCGGGCTTATTCGATCTTTTTCCGGATCTCTCCCCTGTTTCCCATGCCCCTACTATTGCTTTTTGATCTAGTATTTCTTATGTTGTTGATGGTGAATTGGTGGTTTATGGTGTCCTGGATAGTGTTATTTCCCCTAATGTGGCTCCAGCCATTGTAGCTGTGTCTTATATAAATTGTTGTTTGAATCTTAGTGATAGTCCTACTTATGCGGATGGTGCGGATTTGACTATTGGCAAGTATGCCTCTTTAGTTGATAGAGGTGAAGAAGCTTTGGTTATTGTTGGGGAGGAAGGTGTTGTGGTGCCTCTAGTGGATGTGTCTATTTATGTCATTTCAAATGTTAATTTATTTACCCATCATGCTAGAGATTCTATTCGGTGGCAATATGATTGGTTGCATGATGACATGTTGGCTGCTAGTGGGGAGGATTTTTATTGATACCAACCTCGAAACGGGCTCGATCAATAAGTTTGTTTCGCAACGGAAATAGAAATCCAAGAAGAAATGATTTTGTTCTTTTGGACTGTTTGGTTTTATTCCGTTCTTCGTTGCTTTGGTTGCGTTGTTGGGTTAGATTCGGAATGGACCATCATGAAGCAGTTTTGCTGCATTTGCCAAGGATGGCAAGGGTTGATTAGCAACCTTTGCGGCTCGTTTTGATGTTTTTCGCTGCTTCTCGTTTTGGATTTAATTTTCCTTCATGGATGGCCACGCCCTGACAACTCGGTGTTGGTCTGAGTCAGATATCCTCCGATTTTCTCCATCCAATTATATGTTTGTTTTGCTACTGCTTCTCTCTTATTGTAATTTTATTGATGTGGCCCCGTGGTGATCTTTTACTATATCATTTTCGTTTAATGGAAAGTTTTTAGTTTAAAAAGATTATATATATTCAACATTTTAATTAAATTAAAATATAATGGGAATAAATACTGCGAAATATATGATAAACGAATAAAATATTAAGATATTTATATATAATCAGCAAAATGAATATCTTCAAAAAAATTTATGACAAAATTTATTCATGATAAATTTATAAATAAAAAAATTTTCCTTTTATTTCAATAGATAAATCAATTTAATTTATTGGAGTTCTTCAATTTTATTTCAAGAACTTTACCGTTAAATACGTGACTTAAACTTTGGTGTTTGATTTTTCTTAACTGAATTTAATTTTTCAAGATCAAAACACTATTATTATAGATACTTGGAAGAATCCAACACAAAAACTATTCTGAAAGCTGAAATAAAAAAACAATAACCCTATTAAAACTCATTCATAATCACTTTTAAAGTAGAAATCTTCGTCTTATGCTTCTTTCTAATCACAAAACTATTTGGCTAAGAAAAACTATCATTATTTGGATAATTGAAAGACAAAGTTCAAATGATGAGTCTGAGGACTTTGACATGTTTGATATACTTAAGATTTGTTTGAGGTGGATATAATTTCTTATAAAGGTGGTTATAAAATTGTCGATGAAAATAATTGTTTTAAAAAATTGTTATAAAAAATAGTTTCAAAAAAAAAATTATTAAAAGTAGTTAAAAAATAGTGGTTAAATAAAAATTATGACTGTGTTCTGAAAGCAAAGCAGTAAGAAATCTGTCCCAAATAAAATCTGAGATTTTCTTTGGATGATTTTTTACTGCTTTTTGAAATGATATTTTAGTACCAAAAATTGATGTAAGTTGGAAAATAATAATGACAAAAAATTATCTAAAATAAAATCTAAACCTAAAATCTAATGAAGTTATTTGTTAATAACCACCAATAATCCATTGAGATGGGATTTAATTAAAAATATTTTATTTAAATGAATAAATTAAATTTATTTATGTTTACGTTTCATTGGAAATAATTTTTTATAATTTTTATTTTCAATTTTCTTGCAAAAACTATTTTTACAATAATAATAGAACATCAAATTTTTATCTCATGATGTGCGTTCAACAAATGAAGTTATAATTTTTCAAATTTTAATAAATTTAAACTATATAAGAAATTTCCATAAGAATTCATTATAAAATTTTCTATTCAAAGCCGGTCGGCAGTGCTGCTTTTAAAATAAGGAAGCGTTATTATTAAGGTCTAATTTCGTTTAAATTTTTGATTGGTAAAAATGATAAATAAATAAAAGAGTAAAATTTTGACACGCGCAACCAACCGTACGTCACGCGGAGAAGAAGAGGAACGCAGTCAGCGTGACCAAACCTCCGGTCAAAGAAGGTCATGGCCACCGCCAGTTGCCGATTTCCACTGCAACACGCGTTCGCAATCTACCGGATAACCACGACGTCAGCGGGCTGCCCGCAGCTAAGAGGCAGGCGTGAAATTGAATCTTCATTTCATTTCGATTTCATTTGCTAGTGGAAAGAAGAAGCAAGAGGAAGGCAACTTCGGTGCGCTGTTGCCTTTTGACCAAAAACAAAGGAAGCATGGAGCCTCCTTCACCCAGCTTCGATTCTGTCTCCTTATATAATGGATGCCCTAATACTGCTAGAGTAATAAACCAAGCTCAGATCTCTCGCATCTCTTCTACTATGAGCCGCGGTAACAAGAAGCAATTCTCGCAGCCGTCGCAGCTCTCCATGGACGCCGACGATTCTAGAAAGACGGCGCCAAGTCGGGCGGCGGCGGCGGCGGCTGCTGAGGATACTGTTGCTCTACTTCTCGAGCTAACGGCTTCGGATGACCTTGCAGGTTTCAAGCAAGTTGTAGAAAAATCCGATATTTCTCTTGACGCCTCGGCCCAGTGGTACTCCCGTTCTGTTGGGCCGGTGTCGTCGCCGGCTCGGAAGATGGCTTACGAGCGCCGTACGCTGCTCGCGATCGCTGCTCTCTACGGAAGCACCTCCGTGCTCAGCTACATCCTTAGCCGAAACGGAAGCACTGCCGACGTTAACCGCCGCTGCGGCTCTGATGGTGTAACGGCCCTCCACTGCGCCGCTGCCGGCGGATCGGCTGCCTCGCTTCAGGCTGTGAGGCTTCTGATTGAGGCCTCTGCCGATGTGGACGCAGTAGACGCCATGGGGAATCGCCCTGGGGATGTAATAGCGAAGCAATTTTCGGCGTCAATGGCAAGAGAACTTGAGGTGCTTCTAAAAGCTCCATGCCCTAGGGTTTCGTCTCCGTCTAAGTTAACAGGGGAGAAGAAAGAATATCCACCGGATTTGACTCTACCGGACATCAAAAACGGGATCTATGGGACCGATGAATTCCGTATGTATACCTTCAAGGTGAAACCTTGCTCGAGAGCTTATTCTCACGACTGGACCGAGTGCCCCTTCGTCCATCCAGGGGAGAACGCCCGCCGCCGCGATCCGCGTAAATACACCTACAGCTGCGTCCCTTGCCCGGATTTCCGCAAAGCTTCTTGCTTGAAAGGGGATTCTTGTGAATACGCCCATGGGGTGTTTGAGTCCTGGCTACATCCAGCTCAGTATCGCACTCGACTTTGTAAGGATGAAATCGGCTGCAACAGGCGAGTATGCTTCTTTGCTCACAAGACGGAGGAGCTTCGATCTGTTAACCCAACCACGGCTTCTGTTGCTGGTTTGGCTCTATCTTCCCCGAGATCGTCGCAGATGGGGATTTCTTCTCTCGACATGGCCGCAGCTCTGATGATGATGCAGTCAACGCCTGCTTCGCCTATATCTCCTTCGGCTTCTTCGGCATTAGCTTCAACCTCGGCGTGGATGAATCTGGCTGGGAGTATGGCCCAGCCACCTGTTTTACAGCTGCCAAGCAGCAGGCTGAAATCAAGCGTAAGCGCTAGAGATATAGATTATGAGCATGACATGTTGGGACTGGAGGGTTACCAGCAAAAGCTGTTTGATGATATCTCAAGCATCGCTTCTCCTCGCTCGAACTGGAAAGCCGGCTCCTTGAACTCCGTCGCTTCCCGTGTTGCAGATTACAACGACCTTTTTGGATCTCTTGACTCCTCCATTCTTTCTCCATTGCAGAATCTTTCCTTGAAGCAGGCAACTAGCGCTGCCACAGGGTTACAAATGAACCAAAGCGTGAGCCAGCAGCTGCTTTCTGGCTATGGAGGCAGTTTGCCTTCTTCCCCCACGATGAATTCATCACCATTTGGGCTAGAACATTCCATGGCGAAGGCCATTCTGAACTCCAGGCAGGCAGCCTTTGTAAAGAGAAGTCATAGCTTCATTGATCGCGCTGCTGTTGCTCGCAATTCTGTCGTTGCTCCACCACAAATCTCTTCTTGTACAACCCCTTCTCTTGGTCTATCTGATTGGGGTTCCCCTAAAGGAAAGCTGGATTGGGGAATCCAAGAAGAGGAGCTGAACAAGATGAGAAAGTCGGCATCTTTTACTTTTAGGAGCAACCAAAGCAACAACGTTGGTGCTCCAGTCACTCTGCAACAGCAGCAGAAGCAGTATCAGGGTAATGGCGCCGTCGACTTCCTGTCCTGGGACCATCTGTATGCGGAGCAGGATCAATTGGTGGCCTAATCTTCTGCAAAACCATGGATATTTATGGAACCAACTTGTTCAATTTTTTTGTTAATTTTTCTTTCATTTTCTTCTTAATCCATTATATTCATGTACTTAAGTGGCTGCCTCTTAGTTGAAGAAAGGAATGCCCGAAGGGAATCTGAACTGCGGAGATGCAGCCCGATCTTGTTCTTTCATTCATACTTATTAAAGATATATCGATTTCAATGATTGGAGAATAGCTACTTGTTTGAATATAACCGGACCGATGAGCTTATAGCACTTACATATGTTAACATTGCCAGATATCAATGGAAGATTCGTTGTTATATTGGAAATATGTGTTATCCATTGCGCATTCTCTTCGCACATTCTTCTGTAGAAATGCACGTTTTTGTTCTAATACTTTGTAGGCGGAGATGGATAACTCCGATGATGTTGGATGATCAGATCAAAGCACGAAGTGTGATACAGATAAAATCAGAAAATTATTCAAAATAGAGAAATAGTTATAATTACATTGTAATTATGTAGTTTAAATTTTTCTAAAAGTCAAGTATTTATTGGGGAGAAAGATAGATAATTAAGAGGATATAATGAGTCAAACTATTCAAACACTCTAGCACATCTTAGTTTCTTTAAGAGGAGTATTTATACTCTTAAGGACTCCAATGACTGAATAAGACACATAATTGAACCTACAAGTCTAACTAATATTATCATTTTGAAAAAACAGACTTTAGAAGAAATTAATGAAAAAATAGTTTATATTAAAGGTCAAAATGATGAAATAATTAAAAAATTTAATATGTATTATTGATAAGGTAGAAACTCAAACTACAAAACATTTAATTACTTTAAGTTTAGTTAGAAAAAATTAAAGATGATTTTGATCAACTAAATGAAATAAAAATTAGTCTACAACTAAATGAAATAAAAATTAGTCTACAAAAAATAAATATTATTTTTGACGTACTAAAACAAATTATAGAATATTATTAAATGATTATTTAGTTTCTCCTACTTTATATACTATATATTTTTTGTGTGTATCAATAACATTTTTTATTCAACATACACAAAGCAGCATTAAAGAATCAGAGCTCAAAAAAGTGTTGCATAGGTTAGACTAACTTTGAAAGGGTTTGTAATTTTATTTTATTTTCTTGAGTTAATGTTCTTAATAAGGTGTATATTTGCTTAACAACCATGTACACACACACAAAAAAGGGAATGAGAAATAAATATTTTAACTCTTTTGATAATCATATTGTAAGATCCATATCATATTGTAAGATCCATATCATACTGTATGATCCATTTTAAATAAAAATTAATTAAATTTTTTTAATTTAAATGAGAGAAAGAAAATTGGGTTATAATTAATCAGACTATATGACCAGCATATCATACTATACGATTAGTTCTTTTTTGTAACCCCATTGTTAAATCCAACTTACTTAAAATACAAAATTTTGAATTTTAAAAATTAAACTTTTTGTACAATACGAATATATTCATATTGAATGGTGCTTAATTTATGTTGTCTAATTTAAGTTTGGTGATTAATGAATTAAATCGGATATGTATTAATTACAGATCGTACATCCTGATCATGTATCGTACTGTATAAAAAACCATACAAACTTTGCTTAATATTGTAATATCTGATACTTAATTTGAACTAATCGTATTGTTTGTTTTATAATTATAAAGGATGATCTATGATGGTAATGAACTAATCTTACAGTATGATCCAAAAACCATAATGTACTAAGTTAGTGGAATTGAAAATTAGGAATGTTTGAAGCTTTATATATATATATATATATATATATACTTTGATTATAACCTTAGCAACGGTCTTTTTGCTGTCAGAGTTTAGTTTCTTCTGTGAGAGTGTTGAAGAGTGAGCATTGAACAAAATAGAGAAAGGGTGAGATGGTGTGAGAGGTAGACAAGTCATATGAGAGTGTGAAAGGAATTTTCATAGAATTGCTCCCACCAATTTGCACCTGAGTTCCTCTAAGAGTGCCGGTGTTTGTCTTGAGGAATGCTCTATGAAGAAACCTATGGTGTCAAAGGCTAATGGCTTCTCTGTCTCACCGAGGAGGTGAAAGAGATTTCAACAATTCCACCATACTAAGGAGGTGAAAGAGATTTTAGCTACTTCGTCGAATTAAGGAGGTGAAAGAGATTTTAGCTACTTCACATCACTGAGGAGGTGAAAGAGATTTCGACTACTCCGCCACATCGAGGAGGTGAAAGAGATTTCGGCATCTCCCCAAAACCGAGGAGGTGAAAGGAGATATTCTTTGATAGAAGAAATTGTACAAGCTTCTCTGACTAGCCATTGGCTGAAGGAGAATCATTATTGATTAGTGCAACATCCTACAAGAGGAACTTCGAGGAGTGGACGTGGGTCAAGTTGACTGAATCACTATAAAATTTGGTTTGAGTTCTTTTTATTTTCGCATACTTTCTTGCAGTTTTACTTTCATGCATATTTGTTTTCTTGAATCGGGGTTGAGTTTGATTATCATTGTAATTCAGAAGTAATTATAGTTGACTTGGATTGATATTTTTTTTTAAAAGAAGCAATAAAAAAGCATAAAGACAAAATGAACAAAAAAATATTATTTGCATTTCTACAAAATAAAAAATACAGAAAGACTAGTATTTGTTTTAAGTTGTTATTGTGAGTTGTGATTTCATTTTATTAAAACGCTTTCACATTAAAATATAATTTTGGTTTTTAATCAAAAAGATTTTTGAAAAAGTTTTTAAATTACTAATTCACTATTCTCTTGATGTGTTATTTCAATATTTAATTGATTTTACAACCAGCTATTAAGCTTTTACTCTAGGACTTTAGCGGTGATAAATAAAACTTCATTTTTTTATTTTCTCTATCCAATTAATTAATGTTAAATATAAAATAAAAGGCCTTTATACAAATATTTGAAGTGATGCACAAATAATATTTGATTTTACAGCCAGAGCGCTTGGTGATCCGTAAACTCTGGTTAGCCTAGTCAAGTGACCCACACCAATCTACTAGGGGCCAACGCTTAGCTAGTCCATCGAAGGAGTGGTGCCGCCCAAGGGAATCGAAACCTGGATGGGGGGCACCCACTCGGACTCGTCTACCAACCGAGCTAAATATCAGTGGGTACAGATCATCTTTTTATATGGTTCTAAAAATTAGAAAGCTAAAAAATACTTATCAAATAATTAGATATTATCATATAATATTTAAAATTATTAAATCGTAATATATCATATGATTCATATATGCTTATGGTGTCTACAGTACTCGCAACAAACACCCTCCACCATCCTCTTAAGCTAGCTTTAGATCTAGGCAAGTTAGGCAAACCTATCCAGGAGGTCTCATCCTATGCTAACTTTCATATATTTCAATGACATAGTGGTGATGATCTTTATCATACCTTTTAGATAACCAATGAATTGGAAATTATATAAATACATAAATCAGATCTAACCAAGGCTATTGACCAAACCCTGTGTTATTTCATTGGTGCAAGGTCTCAACAAGTATGAAGCAAATTAGAAAAAAATTTATGCTTCTTTGATTAAGGCATTATTTTAGACAACTTTCTTACAGCTTTTTAAAACATTTTTCTAGTATTTTTTTTTTTTTTGAGAATTGCAAATTGCATTAAAAGAAGAACTAATTACAAGTTATAAAAAGACTCACATTCCTTCTGTAACAAACTAGATAAAGAAGAAGGAATGTCGCCAAAAGAAAAGCTATCAAAAAATAAATTGTATTCTAAAGCCAAACTAGCACAAAAATCAACTACTTTGTTACATTCTCTATGAACATGGTGGAAGATCACCTTATTAAAACATTTAAAAACAATAAATTCTTTATGCACCAAGTGTCGCTTTGCCACTTTGCTTTAGTTAAAGAATCTTGAATAAACTTGAAGATGTTGAAGTTATCACCTTCAATTATTACTCCTTTGCTATCTATCATTTAACTTTGAATCAATTTCCTTATAGTTAAAACAGCCGCCATCTCAACTTGTGCCACATCCCAATGATTTTTTTTTTCCCCAAAAGCAAGTAATAATCTTCCTTTATGATCTGTAAACACACCTCCAATTCCAGTAATGTTTGATTTCAAAGGGATGCATCCACATTGATTTTAATCCAACCAAGTGGTGGAGGGTGCCAAACATTTTAAAACTCCCTAAGGAGATTAATACCCCAGCTATCTAGTATTGGATATGGATGTAACATATCTGTAGATAAAACATTTGCTGCAACTACTGAATTTGGAAGAGCAGGCTTTCCGTGTACCACTTCATTTTTTGTTCTTCCAAGATAGAAAAACTGTAGTACAATACAACTTCACCATATTAGAAGAACAAGTCGAAAGTCTTCTAAGTTCTCGCAGACACCCTTCCAATGATTGAAACGTAGGAATGTTAAAAACCCATTCTCTTAACTTCAAAAAAATCTCAATCAAGAATTTCAAAAAATTTCTTGAACTATAAATTTTTTTACTAAAAAATTATTTTAGAAAGCAATAAAAAAGCTACCTAAAATGAAGCTTGAAATTCAACAATAATAGAAAAATAGGTTGTTCCAATCTTCTTTTTATAAAGTACTTATCATGTGGAATATATTCTGATATGTTTTAGTAGAATGGATGATATATATTATCACACAGATGAAACTTTCCCAAATTTATTGATAATATAAACTTTTGCAATCTTCTTTTCATAAAGTTCATATCCTGATTGAGTCCTCTTTTTCTTAAACATCCTTTGGAAGATATATAAATTCCTTCATATGAAAGACTCTTTATATCTCCTCCAAAGGTTGTTTTTATGCAGGAAGAATCAATGGTGTTTGACATGTTCAGGATTCTTAAGCATGTGTTCTACAAACATAGCTGCAAGTGGGCTCTCTAATGAATATAATAAGTCATACGATGGAGACTTCTTGCTTAGTATTCAAATGTTCAAATATAATAAGACAACTTTGAAAGATAGAGTTTGCTCTTTATGTTGCCTTGAATTATTCTTTTAAGAACTTGACTTGTTACTGGTTAGTAAACAAGTAGAATGACTATTATTATATTGTGTTTGTAATTAAGCTCTCTCTAATTTAGCCTTCATTGGAATTTTTTTTTTTTTAATTTTTTAAAGCAGTTTTGTAGTACAAAAATTTCTTGAATAAGAAATTTTTGTACTAAAAGAAGCTTAGAAGACAGTAAGAAAGCTGTCCCAAATGAAATCTTACATTGCACAATTTT